GGCAGGCAGGAAGGTGCTGCAGCAGCCCCAGGATGAGCCCTCAGCCCCATCTCATGCCTAACCCAAGGAAGGTGGCCCTGCATTTTGCCGAGCTGGCCCCGTGCCCTGACAGAGCACGGCTCCTCCGGGAGATGCCGCTGTTCTGCGGTGCTTTTCTTCTGCTCACTGCAGCAGGTGGGAGGAGGGCACCCAGCATGGATGTGCTGCAAGAGCGTGAGCCGGCACAGAGCAGCTTTGGGTGCTCACATGATGTGGGATTGTGGTAGACCAAGGAGTGCTCTCCAGGGCTGTGAATCTGTATTGAATTTGTTACCTATAGATGCCATGCGTGCCCGGAGGTGCAGCCAGGCCTGGGCAAGCAAGGTGCCCCTTCAAGCGTGTCGGCGTGCAAGCCGTGTGACGGTCTGACCCTCTGCTTCTCTCTTGCAGGCGTACAGCTTTGCCATGGGGAGTTGGCCAAAGAACGGGCTCTTAGACATGAACAAAGGACTGAACCTACAGCACATAGGGAGGCCTCACAGCGGGATAGGTGAGTGACGCGCCCGGTGCCCAGCCCTGCAGCTCTGCTCCCGCGCGCTCGGCACGCGCCGTGGTGGGTGCTGAGACCCGGCCAGAGGCCCCCAGGGTCTCCAGCTGGTGAAGAGGAAGGGTGGGCAGGGCGAGTGCCCTGCTTTGGTTTGGGCAGTGTATCCCTGGCTGCCTCTTCACTTCTCCGTCGCTTCCAGAATTGGCATCTTCGTGCCAGGCTGTGGTTCCAGCAGACCTCCGTGTCCACCAGGGCCCACAAACGTGTGCCCAGAACCGTGCCGCAGTGCCACTGCAGCACCCACGGCCCAGCCAGGAGGGCGATGGCTGGGGAGCATGTCCTGCTCTCGGCCTCCTCCTTACACATCCCACTGCAGGGGGGCTGCTCCCCTCTTTGGCAGTGCCCAGTCTGTGGCTGGAGGTGGGTGGCACCAGGGCTCTGTGCCCAGTGCTGTGAGGGGTCCCCAAGCTGGGCTGGATGATCCCTGTCAGGCCAGTACCCCAGCTGCTTTGGATGCTGCATCCATCCTGGGAACGGGGGCTCCCACGTGTCCCAGCTGCTGGACAGAGCAGTTTGGGAGCTGGCAAGCTCGCTCTGTGGAGTGAGGACACGGGGCCCGAGCTGGAGAACTCAGCCATCTTCTGCTTCGCCCACACGTGTGATGAGTTTCATGGTCCCACAGCCTGCTGCAAGGTAAACTGCTGTGCCCACTGTGCACACCGGTACAGCTCCACGTTTCCCCTAGTTCCTCCACAGCAGGGATCAAAGTGATATGAAGAGGGAGACCTGGCCTGGGACGCTGAGGCTGGAAGCACCCAGTGGGGACTGGCAGGAGCTCCATGTGGGTACCAGAGACTTGGCCCAGATCCCCTGGGACGCACACAGGGCCATAACTCTAAGGGCTGCATTTTTCCTGCCCATCTTCTTTCTCCACGGGGTATTGGATCACCTCTTGGAGATCTGCAGCCTGGTGTTCCCCCTGCTTCATAGCCCTTTATCTGCTGTCACTTGTGAGCATTTAAGTTTGCAGGAAGGTAAGATGTGCTTGGAAAAGTCACCTGCTGCCTGGGCCTCGAGGAAGCTGTTTAATATTGTTTCAAGACTCTAACCATTAAACTCTCCAATCAATCCAAGTTAAGGAGATGAATTATTTAAAGCTCACCAGCTTTTAATTAGCAAGCTCCTTTTGAACTATGGATCTGGTTGCATTATTGACGGAGGTAGCATTAAAATTTGCTTCCTTGCCTGGGAGCAGACTTGTCTTATGTGCTGTGTTGAGGGGATCGTGGGGATGGAGCTGACACCCAGGGAGTCGTCTGTGTGTCCTATTTGTGGAGTTCGGCTGTTCTTAGGGACTCTTGGTCTGTTCAGGCTTGTTTTGTGCTTCTTCCCTCGTTTTATTTGTGGCAAGAGCCTGCTATTGCTGACTGCCTTCTCTTTGGTGACTGATACTGAGGTGCAGTAGGATCAGGGGAAGCTGGGGAGCTGGGAAGGGGTGAGGAGCAGTCCAGGAGGAAGCGGGAAGTGTTGCAAATCTCCAGCTCAGTTATGCAGGGATATGTGACATGGGTGTTTCCTTTCAAACCTGACAGGAAAATTGTGGCGGATGGCCACTTCTTTCTGCCAACAAATAACAAGGAATTTTTCTGTCTTCCCGATGGGTTGCGTCTCATTTTGTGTTGAGACCCGCTCTGTAGCTCACTGGGTCGCCGGCCGCCTGCTCCCCATCCGAACACCCCGCGTGCCCCAGGACCGGTGCTGCTCAGTGCGCCGGCGCTCTCCTTCCTTTGGCTTGAAATCCCTGGTTGTTCAGGGCACTCAGCAGCCTCTAGGGTCAAGGCCAAATGCTTAATGGAAACTTCACCTTTGAAAAGAGGAGCTCCGTGGTGGAACAGGGTGAAGTTTTGGGCCACGTCCTCCGAGAACAGGGCTATGCATGTGCAACACAAACTGCTGAGTGGAGTTGTGTTGCTTTCCTCTGGCTCTGCTTGCAGGAAAGCAAGCTGCAAATCTTGCTGAGGGTTAGTGAAATGTTTTATGTCAGCAAAGCATCATGTGAGCTACCTTGCAGCTGGAAGTGGCAAGGCCTGGTGCAGTTGTTTCACAAGAGGAAAAAGGTAAAGGAAAAGGAGAAATGTCAATATTTCAGCTTGTTGATAAGTGCCAGGCAGAATAAGTGAGAAAATCCTGCTCCAGAGAATGAGAATGCAGGGAGTCCTCAGGAGATAAGAAAGAAGCAAAAGGGAGTGAAATCTGTTCTTTTATTTCTTTTCGTGAGTTGATATTTCAATTATAAGGGTTCCCTCCAGGCCAAATCTGACACTGAGGACAAGGGAGGACTTCCTTTAACTCCCATCTCTATATGTGGTTTCAATGTCTGTGAACTCTGCTGTTGGCTATAGGATCTTGGGGTCAAGAACTTCTTTTTGTCTGGTGATTTCTTGGCCCTCAGCAAAATAAGGCTGAATCTTGCCGAGATAAGTTATTCATCTTACTGACATGTGCACGCCGAAGTTCTTAAAACTGAGTTTGAGATGCTGCTTGCCAAAGAGGAGCTGCAGATTTCAATGGGGTCTTGGGACTCTCCAACATAGGCCAGTGTTCATGGGCTGCTGGTCTAGATTGCTCCTCGATTTTAGCCAAACCGTGCTGCTGTCGTTGCACACACTGCCTGCCTTCCCGAGCAGCAGCTCTTGGTGCAGGAGCAGCGGCAGCACTGACCTTCTCTCCGTCGTGCAGTCAATAACCATCAGCCCTCAGCCGTGGCAGCAGGTACCTGGTGAGGGGCTGGTGCTCTCAGGGCTTGCCTGGCTCCTGCACGTGCCCGTAGACCAGGGACCAGCTTGTCCGTGAAGCTCGTGTCCTGCACACACGAGGCTCAGCAGGTCCCATTGCCCCCGATCCCAGCCGAGGCTGTTGAGCGGCCCTCGGAGCACTCGAACAGCCAGGCTGCAGCCAGGTGACCTAACAGGAGAACACCTGGAAGCTCCTGTAAAGCTCCTGATGGGTGACTTCTCATGGGCTCCTGCATCTTCGAAGCCTTTAGTGTCCTCTCACAGACCACATCACAACCAAACATGTATTTTTGGCCTCATGCAGCTTTGTCAGGACTTAGGACCTTCCCATGAGGACAAGTCTTCAGGCTGCTCCTCTTCACTTGATCCATGTCTTTCCCAGCGTCACCGCTGCCCTCCTCCTTCCCCTCAAGGAGGTTCCTGTTGCTTTTCCCAGCTCTGCCTCCCATCTGCTGCCCAGACTTGGCCAGGCCACTTGGCCGTGCTGAACCTGCCCCTTAGAGACAGGGGAGCCCTCAGGGACCTGAAACCAGGAGCGTTCCCTGATGCTCTTGATGGAAGGTTTCCGGGAAGGACGGAGATTTCGGGGAGGTTGCCTGCTAGCTGCTTCTGCTCACGTAGTAACGCTGATGGAGCTGTGTTCTCTCACCGAGGTCTCTACATGGAGTTGCAGAGATTGACATAAATCAGAATGATTTAAAACACAGGTTTTAGTTCTCATTTAAATCAGCCAACAGGACTCCTGGATTCAATCATTGATTTTATTCTATTTTTGTTCTTCTTCTTTTTTTTTTTTTTTTTACCTATTTCCCTGAAGAAAGGTCAAGGTTTTCTGACCAGCACCCATCAAAACATATTCAGCTCTGCCTACCACTGCCCATGTGTTAAATCTGATTATTCTTTTATTCATCAAATATCCTCTATTTTCTACATTTATTTTGATTGATTATGTAACGTAATAAGACTTTGCTCTTAGTTTTTAGATATTTCTTACATTAGAAAATTATATATTGCTACTTCTTATTAAAGAGGTGGTGATTAAGTTATTACTCAGGATTTGAGTAGTATTGCTTTTGGATGAAAATTGGAATGCAGTGTGAAAGAACCCAAGTGGTAGTTTAACTTATTTTTATTAGGAAAGTCATGTCTGCCTCACATATGCGTCATGAAAAAGAAAAATTGAATTTAAGAATACTCTTGTTGTCAGAAGTACCTGATATATGAAACAAGAAGTGAGAACAGTGCTTAGTGATTGGAAAGAGCCTTTCTGGAAACCACCCTCTAGATTTTAGAACTGGTAAATCTGATCCTCTCTCATGTGAGTTTTGTTAGTCTGTTTTGATGATTATGGGAAAGATAAAAGGCACCTTCTTTATTTTTCTCAGGCCTTTTCAGCTGCTTCTGAGCTCTGAAAGAGCCGGTTATTGACCTGAAAATACTGAAAGAAGGAAGAAGTTTCTGAGTCTGCAGAAGCAGTTACTGCTATGAGATTGTCCCCAGTTGTCCGCTCCGTTTTGTGTTCACAGCTGGTAATCTACATGAGGTTGAGTCTTTAACACATGATATTAGGCAATGCACCTTGCTATCAATCATATAGAATTTGATTGATTTGTTAAGTTTGGACTTAAGCACGCAGAGAATTATCATTTTAGATGTCTTGTGTGTGGCTTTTTTTCTTTTCTTTTTCTTTCTCTTCTTTTTTTCTTTTTTCTTTTCTTTTTTCTCTTTTTTTCTTTTTTTTTTTCTTTTTTTTAAGGAAGACAGTAAGCAGGCTGTGTGCTTTTCTAGTGAACCTGAAGTACATGCCTGAGGCTTTGTTTCAGACCAGGAAATATGGTCCTTTAGTAGTGCCTGTTATTCCCAGGCTGTCTTCCTCTCCCGGTACGTGGCTAATGAGCCAGACCCAGCAGCGAGCGTGTCCGGGTGCCTCCCCCCGTCGCCGTCCGGCCCCGTGCGAGCGCAGAGTGAGCCCGGGCTTCTCCCAGAACCACAAGGGTTGCTCGTGTCCGCGCGGGATGCTTCCTTGCCGGCTGGAAAAGCCCTACCTGTTTTGGCAGGTCGGCAGCCCGTGCATCGAGCCACGCAGCCGGCTCCGCTGCGTCCCTGCGGCTCCATCGCTCTCTTTTCATTTACTGATTGGGAATCTCGGGAGGTTAGGGTGTGATATTGTTCCTGATCCAGAGCATTAATTAGGCCTCAGAAAGAAGA